GAGTTCCTCCATCTGAAACAAGGGACAACCACCGTCATGGAATACCACAAGCGATTCCTCGAACTGGTGCGCTTCGCACCAGAGCTAGTCCCCACCGAAGTAACCAAAATAGAAAGATTTGTCTCGGGCCTCAACTTCGAAGCCCGAAAAGCACTAGTGGTAAGCCGACCTCGGACTCTCAACGAGGCTTACTCCAGTGCCGCCAATCTCTATCGAATCCAACTACTCCAGCGCGGGGTTCAGGAACAAATACGAAAAAGGAACACCGGAGGGGGAGCATCACCAGTAAAGAAGACAAGGAGCGACGCCAACACAAGACCAAGTAACCTGACCAACCAAAGGCCACCTCTGGGGAACAACGACGCTAGCGCCAGAAGCTTTCCTTGCCCGAAATGCAACAAGAACCATAGAGGCAAGGATTGCATGGGCTATCCCTTGCGATGCTTCAACTGCGGAGAGGAAGGACACAAGGCCTTCCTTTGCACCCAACCCCAAAGGCCACGCACTACCACCATGGGACAACAGGGGGGCACCGCTCATCGTGGAAACTACGATGCTCCCGGAAAAATATTCGTCATGAGCCGCACTCAAGCCGACCTCGGGAACGAGAGCAATCTCGAGGAAGGAAACCTAAGCCCGGAAGACGAGGACCACGCAAACCCCGTGGGAGAAAACCAAGAAGACGAATTCTGTCTAGGTTAGGTTGGCAATTTCTTGTAATCACCTTCGTGGTAGAACTACTTATTTAGCTTAATTACTTCGGAGATATTATAAATAAAAGATCGGTTCAAAATTCGGTCCTATTTACGGGGGTAAAACTAGAACTATACAAACTAACCAAGTCTCACCACTAGAAGACAAAAGAAGGAAAAAGACAAAGGCCCCATCATCATAGGGCCTAGTGTTGCCAATAGGAATTGAACCCTTGACCTCCCACTTACAAAAACAAAGTCTTGACCACTAAGCTAAAGGTGTTTCTTGAAACCTCAAGGGAACACTCCTTTGTTAAAGCCCTACAAAATCCCTAAAACCCACAAATCCCCAAATCAAAAACCCTTCTTCTTCTCCTTCTCCCTCACTTCCTCCCCTTCCCTCTCTCGCTCACCTCACCGCCCCACCAAGTTCCGGCAGCCACGCAAACACCACCACCAGCCGATCGCCGCCGCCGGCCGAGCGTCGTCCGCCAACCCCATACCGCCGCACCGCCGCCCAGCCGACCGCCCCCTCTTCGCCCGGAGGCCGCCCAGCTGCAACCCGCTGCCACCACTGCCCGACGCCACCAAGGACCGCCACTCCCCTTCACCGGAGCCCAGCCGCCGCCGCCCCCCTCATGACAAAGCCGCACCGTCGACGACCCGCCGGAAAAACGCACTGGAGCCCCCACCGCAGTCTCGCCAGAAAACGTCACCATCACGTAAAGCATCACAATGCCAAAGAAACCCCTCGGAACCCGTACCCCGGAATGGAGCAACGCCAGTTATACCGTAATCGGAGGTAAAGCTCTTGAACCCGACCAATTTTCTCCGGAATTGATCGATATGCTTAATCATCAAGGCCTTTTGGATACGTACCTCACCATCAAGGGGGATACGTACCCCGAATTGGTGAAAGAGTTCTATCAACACTTGGTGGCCATCAAACGAGGTGATAAACTAGAAATCACCACTAAAGTCCGAGGCAAGGAAATCATACTTTCCGAATGCCGTTTGACCAAGCTCTTGAAATTGACCACCACGGGTGTGTCAAACTACGACCGAAAGGGGTGGATTGACACCCAAAGTACGGGGTACAAGGACTACCTTGGGTACCTACTCGGGAGAGGGGAAGGATTCACCTCGGCCACACGACCGAATAGGAAGTGGCTAACGGCGGAACAAAAGATATTGGTTATGATTGTAACCGATAGCCTCTTGCCCACAAACAATAAGAGCAAGGACGTGGGGAGTTTGGAGTGCACCTTTGCCTATCTCTTGAAACACAAAATCAAGTTCAACCTGCCGGCCCTCATGCTAAAACACATGGAGTTTTGCAAAACAAGTAACCGGCTTAGCCTACCCTACGGGATGATCCTAAGTTGGATCATGGAAAAGAAGGGGGTGGACCTAAGCCACACTGAGGTTAAAACCTCGAATGGCATGATCTTTAATGCCCAGAACCTCCGACGCAATGATATCTACTACACCAAGGGAGGACAGTATGTCACCCTCGAGGAAATTTGTCTCAAACCTGAGGAGGAACGAAGAGAATTGGTCGACCAATTAGACATCTCCAACAAAAAGCTCAAACGGGCAATGCAAGATTGCGGAATCCTGGAGGGAAATGAGGACCAGGAGGAGGATGACGAACCCAACCCGTCGGTGCAACCACGATCAGGAGAAAACCCAAGGAAGCAAAACGAGGGCTCAATCAATGAACACATACTCGCACAGCTCAACCGGCAAAACCAAATCATGGAGGAAGGGTTCTCATCCTTGATCCGTACGACACGCGCACTAGATCAGAGGGTGGCAGCAATCGAGGCCACCTTGGGCACTCGCGGGGCGTCTAGCTCAGGAGCAAGAGACCAAGGTAGACCCAATTCCCTTCCATCAAATCACTACCAGAAATCCAGTCTACCCCAGCTAAGGCAAAACGTGGGGCCACATTCCCAACCGGGAGGCCAAGATGCGGGATGCCTAGGGGTGAAAGAATGGATTGACACACCGGGCTTCGGGGACGAAGCCCCTCGTAAGGGGGGGAGAGTGTAACACCCCGTGTTACGATCCCTAAAACCAATTAATCATTTAACCAATTACCCAAAAGAAAGAATTAAATCACAATAATTAATTAGGAAAGGCCCACCATAGTCCATGGGCCCTTATCCATGAACCCTCACCCACCGGCTACCCGCTGGTTTGCACCCCAATTGGGGATTTTGGCTTCCCCGTTTGATGTTCCCTCGATCCCCGTGGTGTCCCAACGGACTCCGTCTATCGTGCCTATGTCTAGTTTGATTTTCGGGTACCGTTCGTAGGACGTATGAGTCTTATATATTGCATGCTAGTTGAATTGGTATCCCGTTGACCTAGGTGAAAGAAGTATGAACCCCTTAGGACTATTCTTAGAATGTGAAGGATCACACATAGGTTTTGTTATACGTTTTCTCCCCCTTCCCAATGTGTTAATGTGGGTTGCATGTGCTTGCTATGTGTTATGTGTGCATGTCACCCCGTGTTGGTTGAGATCAATCGGGCTATACGGGCAGTCGGGTGGGCTGAGAACCATCCCAACTGTTAACCAGGCTGGTAGAGACCGGTCAGGTATATAAATATTATATAGGACAAAGGTCCACTATACGGGCAGTTGAATGGGTTGAGAACCATCCCAACTGTTAACCAGGCTGGTAAAGACCGGTCAGGTATATAAATATTATATAGAGCTGCGGCTCATCGGTCGGTTGCGATCGACCCCTCCGTAGTGTGAGAAGGGGCAGGGTGCTGCGGTGCCGTGTCAGAGCTATATGCGCTGACCCTCATGTATGGGCATGCGATTGGTCCTGTGGCGCCAACAAAGTGTGCTATATGATGAGATAAGAATGATTGATGTGGTGACTGTTATAGGGCTCTTGCTAGAAATGCTTAATTGTGATTATTGGTTGTGCTTATCTATGACTGTTTCCTATGTGAGAATTGTATATGCTGGTTATGACTGTAGTTTGTGTGTACCCCTATTTGTCGAGTCGGTCCCCTGATTTGAAAGCTAGAGTCTCTTAGGATATATCTTCATGCTTCAAAATGACTTTTCGTATATCTATGTATATATATATATATGTATTGTATTTCAACGCGTTGGAGTGGGTTACCAGCATCTCTCGCTGAACAGATATATTTGGCTTTCAGGTACAGACGAGTAGACCACTGGAGCGCGCTAGAAGCTTGGGGCGTAGCTTAGATAGTTTTCCCTTTCGGCCTGCGTGCCATGATTTGGTATTGATACTGATTGAGGTTTTAGAATTTAGCCTGTGCACCTGAGTTCGCTAGCTCGGGTGTGGCAAAGCACCCCGTACTCTGTGTATCGTATTTTGGGATTTAATGGGATCCTATCTTTATTATATAAGTTTTAAAAGTCTTGAAAATCTGGGTTGTTACACCACATGTGAACGGAATTCCGGACGTAATCCCCGGAAAAGATGAAGTTTGAATTCATCCAGTCCAATTGGTCTGCCGGCTTGCGCTAATTGTTCTACCAGAACCTGGGCACGTCCAAGGTAAGCCGGGGTGGTCGAATCGCCTTGATGAAGGCATTGTAGCTGCGTCAGAAGGCTGAGCGTCCGCGACCGAGATGTTGATCCCAGTTTAGTTTCGATCGCTTCTCACACACCTCTGGCAGTCGAGTGTCCGATAGCTAGGTAGAGTACTTCATCATCGAGGGAGGAGAACAACATGCTAAGAATAGACTGGTCCTATTGGACCCAGTCTGAATGCAGCGGGTTGAGCACCGTGGTGGCCGCTGAGGTTGTCGCCGATGGAAGAAACTCCGGCGGGCACGGATGCGTGCCATCTACGAACCCGTATAAATTTTGTCCACGTAGAAACGGGATAAGCTGCGCCCTCCAAAACAAGTAGTTCGTGGCTGTTATCTTGATAGACATATAATGGTGTGCCTATTGTAGGACGGTAGGAGTTCGGCGCTCGGAAGGTGCAGCCACCTGAGCCGCTCCATTTGAGGAGTCACTGGGCAGGGTGGTGGTGGGATTAGTTTCATTTTGATTGGCCATAGGTGAACCTGGTCGTCTGATACCAAATGATGACAAATATAATAGAGAAGGAATTAATTCATCGACTGAGAACAAACAATTACATGCTTATATACAAGAATCTACCACCTAAATAGGTGGAGCAGCTTAGGTAGACTAAAGACTCTAACAAAAATATAATAACAACCACTAATAATATAACTGGTCTAATAGTTAAATCAATTAATATCATCCAAACCAACAAATGAACTATCTTCCGTGTTAGCTCTTATATCATTCTGTTCTTCAGCTTGTATTTCTTCAACTACATTGTTGGTTTTAGGGTTTTTGGGCCCAGGGAGGTCCATCACAACCTTAGTTGGTGGATTCACCTTTCAACAATAGAAGTGAAATAATAGCTCTGTAAGTGTGTGTGTGTATTCTTAGCCTGATCTTGTCGTCCCCTTTACATTCTTGAGGAGCCCCCTTTTATAGTGGGTCTCCTTGGAATCATTCAAAAAGTATACATTTAAGGCCATAAATCGGCCTATTAATTCTAGAGGCCATTGGACTGCCGTTATTGGGCCTCCCAACGGCTTGCAGACCGGGCCCCTTAAATGTCCTCTTAAATGCTTTAACGGCTATCTCCGTGTTGCTTGCCCACTCGCGCCGACCCCCCACTTGCGCCGACTTCTTGGTTTTAGCCCTTATCCCTATTGGGCTTTTCCTCTTCTGGACTTGGCCTTTTCTCCTCTTGGACCTCTCTTCTTCTTAGGCTTCTCTTCTTTTTCTTGGGCCTCGAGCCCACAGGGTTCACACCCCATCAACTAGTCCCTCACTTTCTAGTATTGAGCCCTTTTTCACAGCTCGAATATTGGAAAGTATCCGCCTTGTTATTGCAGATCACTCCCCAATCTTCTCTCTTTAATGGTCAGATTGTGGGCAGATCCTTTGTGATCTTTTTTATTCTACCTGCCCGATCCGCTTTTACTCCTCCCTTGCTTCTCAAACCTATAAATGGTGTCTTTGTCTTTGTTTCTCCTCATCTTCCATGTTAACATGGGTCGTCCCCCGATTAAAGGAAAGAAAATTGTTTTCAGGTCGCCATCCCATTCTCTTCCGGCCAAGCGGTCGAGGTCTGAAAAAGGGAAAAGGAAGGCTCATAAGCCTGCTTCTCGCAAGCACTCCATGGGCTCCACTTCTTCGGGTTCCCGGATGACGACCGAGGCTCCTTGTGACACCCCAAAATCCAAATCCAATTAAGGGATTAATTGAGTAATTAATCCTATTTCAATTTGTAATTTAATTCCTTAAATTCCTGAAATTTAATAGTTGGGGACTAATAATTGACTAGTCAACCCCAAAGTCAAAGTTGTACATTGAGCTTTGTAAGGACTTCCCTTGTTCCTTACACTTCCTTATGTTATTAAGGGTATTCTTGACCTTTCACTTGTTGTTGGTAATGTAACCTAACCTAGTAAGACCACTTTCATTCTCTCCTTACACTTTTCTAAAAATCTAGCTCCACCCTCTCTCTAAAAGGTGAGTAGCTTTTCTTCCAAGCCAAGTTGGAACCTTGCCAAAACTTCAAGAGTTTCTTCCAAGATTCAACCTTTCTTATATTTGGGCATCTAGGAGGGTAAGATCTAAGTTCATCTTGTGTTTTTGGTTTTATCTAAGGTGTCTTTTCTTAAAGATAGGATCTTTATAATCTGTGGTGTGTTCTTGAAGTGGGTTTGGAAGGTGAGCCTAGTGAGGAGCTTGTTGAGGTGTAAAGTGAAGTCTTTAGTTTACAAGAGGTAACCCATGCTCTACAAAACCTATTTTGCTTACCTATATGTGAATATTTCTTGGATTCTACATGTGTTTTGCTATGAAATGTGAGTGTTGATGCATGATCTTGTGATTGTGAAAATGCATATCTAGAGCTTGTGTTTAGGGTTCTTTTATGCCATTGCTTGGCATTTCCTTTGATTCAAGTCATTTTGTTGTATTTGGTGAGATTTGGCATGTTTTGGACTTGAATTTGAGTTGGAGATGAAAAATCCGCGAAGTGTGGTTTTGTGGTGTAGGTTGTACCCGCGGGCGGAACGGCGGGTAGGAGGCCCACCCGCCGCCCACCCGCGGGGTACATGTGGTGTAGGAGCCTGTACCCGCGGGCAGGACCACGGGTAGGGGCCTACCCGTGGGCCCACCCGCGGGTACACAATGTTGGATGTTGGGGAATTTGTTCCCCGTGATTCTTTTGACTCGGTATTTGGTCTTTTGACTTCCCGATGTTCTTTTGTGGAACTATTTGAGTGTCTTCTTGATGTTTCGTATGTCTAGAACTATATGGTAGGATTCCATGTAGGTTTTGGTGTCGTGAATCGTGCTAAGTGTTCAACATTGTGTTTTGTTGAACCGTGATGAGTCTTGTGTGTTCTTCGGAACTATCTTTGGTTTACCCGTTTGATAAGCATGCTAGTTCGGTGTTTAAATGCTAGCGTGTGTGTTGTTTGTACCTTCCCATTGGTTGATGATAACTTGTGTTATTCATCGTTATTGTTGTTGGGCTGTGACCCGTTCCTTGATTGAGTATGGTTTCATATCTTCGTTGTAATCCGTTGATTGATTCCTGTTGAGGTGTGATGTGTGTGTGGTTTTACCTGGATTGCACGATTAGTGGAATGGGACACTAGTCACCAAGGTATTGCAGCGGTCGTCGTGGTGGCCGTGACATGATTATGGAGTTGTGGCCTTTGTGTAAGGTTCACGTGATTCTTGGGTGGCATGTGTTGCCGTGTGTGTGTACGGTATCCTCGTGTACTATGAAATCGGTGGTTTTGTTGGAGGGACTGTTGGAGGGGGAACGACGGTTCCCAGAGGAATAAGGTTGGACTTGGTGTACAGGGGTCCTGGAGGTAAAGGTTGGAACGATATAAGGTTGGGGGTAGCCATAAGGTTGGAACCGGGCATAAGGTAGGCATATCAACTCGTGATGAGTGATGTCACGAGGGCTTGTGTAGCCGTGGTTGTGTGTTCTCTTCTTGTGACGTGTGTAGTCACAAAGACATGTGTTGCCAACGGTCTTGTCGTTATCCTTTGTGTTGTGGTTAACCTTTGTGGTTTGGGATGTGTTCCCGTATCCTTGTTGAGAGTGTTGAGTCTTGTGTTGACTATTGATCTTGGTTTTTGACTTATATACTTTTGTATTCCGTTTCGAAAATGGCTTTACAACTTATATCTTATCTATGTATGATATTTCACATGTATTGGTGGGTTACCAGCATTATTCGCTGACCGGGCGTCGTCCCATGTTTTATTGTGTAATTTCAGGTGATGTCTAGGCGAGTACGCAGTCTAGTGCCTGTTAGCATAGCTTCTCCCGTTTGTTTTATGGCCTGTGTGCCGCTCTAGTTGTAGACTTTTGAGATTTTGGATAGTTGTAAACAATGCAGATATTGCCGCAGCGTTCATCCTTGTTGGTGAACGTGGCATAACACCCTATGACTTGGATTTATGTTTATCCAGTTATCTTTTAGTCTTCCGCTGTGTTTGTTGTTTAGTTGTGTTATCTGCATGTTTAAGGCTTTTAATTAGCCTGTTTTTAGGGGGTGTAACACTCCTCCTCCGGCCGCTGACCCTTCTCCTCCCCAGACTACGGCTCGTGTAACAGCCGAGGATGGGACCTTTGTAGAGGTGGCCGTCCCGGAACAGCTAGCTTTCCAAATGACCTTTACCATCCCGCTGCATGATCCTGAAGGACCGACTTCTGACGTGATGTCGGATGCTGACTATGCACGCTACCTGGAGCTGTATCCAGATGATGAGGCTGTAACACCCCAGATTTTCAAGACTTTTAAAACTTATATAATAAAGATAGGATCCCATTAAATCCCAAAATACGATACAAAGAGTACGGGGTGCTATGCCACACCCGAGCTAGCGAACTCGGGTGCACAGGCTAAATTCTAAAACCTCAATCAGTATCAATACCAAATCATGGCACGCAGGCCGAAAGGGAAAACTATCTAAGCTACGCCCCAAGCTTCTAGCGCGCTCCAGTGGTCTACTCGTCTGTGCCTGAAAGCCAAATATATCTGTTCAGCGAGAGATGCTGGTAACCCACTCCAACGCGTTGAAATACAATACATATATATATATATATATATATATATATATATATAGGGACGCACTCAGGTGCGAATAAGTGCCCAGGAAGGAAATGCCAACGAATCAGCGCGCGACACGTGTCCAGATCTAATAACTTAAAAAAAACGCGGTGGCATTTTCGTAAATAATTGAACATCGAAGTGCAAGTAAAATCTCTTATAAGTGCACCTATTTTCACCTATAAGTGCATGTAATTTTGCCTTGTTAGCATTCACTTTCCGCAACCATTCATGCACCTGGGTGTGCTTATAACTATGTGTGCAACTATTTATAACTATAGGTGCAACTACTTATAACTATAGGTGCAACTACTTTCACCTATAAGTGCATGTAATTTTTCCTTGTTAACATTCATTGATCTGAATTCAGCGGGTAGTAATACTCCTGAAAACCACTCGCAAACATTCATACACCTAGATGCAACTACTTATACCTATGTGTGCAACTACTTAGAACTATAGGTGCAACTACTTAGAACTATAAGTGCAACTAAGTATTGACGCTCAGTGTAAATTTTTACTTGCACCTATAATACATTTTACTTGCACTTGTAATACATTTTACTTGCACTTCGATGTTCAATTATTTACGAAAATGCCACCGCGTTTTTTAAAAAAATCAGTGTTTCTCATCCATTAGATCTGGACACGTGGACGAACAGAATCCATTCCTATTTCGCGCCTGGGCGAGCCGTTTGCACCCGAGTGCAAGTATATGTATATATATATATATATATATATATATATATATATATATATATATATATATATATATATATATTGGTAGGGAATATCCCGACCGACATAGCTTCACCACGACCGAGATGCCTTTGTCCTTTTCTCTTTGTCTTTGCAGGTAGCAGGTCGGGCTCCTTGTGAAGAACCCGGTCGGGGTCCGACCGGGAGTTGCCCGAACGATGATGTCAACCACCGAGCGGTAGCCCTTTGGCGAGAGAGCTGACGAAGGACACGTGGCGGCTCTCTACATCGACAGGCAGGGCACCCGGGAGGATGACACGTGGTGGCTACGTGGAGGACATGCCGAACGGCTGGAATCCTGTCCCCGGCATAGCGGCTATAAATACCCACAGTAGCTACACTGGGGGGGACTTTTGGACGATCGATAGGTTGTTGTTAGAGAATCCCGACCGCAGTCAGTCGGTACTCAGAGCAACCAAGTAGATTGTACTTAGGGCCTCTACCGTGATCAATAAAGACATTTATTTACTTTCCTTGGTCTCGGGTTATTGCCTATTGCTTACGTATAATTAGCAGTATCATTTTGGCGCCGTCTGTGGGGACCCGTTCAAGAAACCAACGTCTTGACGAGCACCCGGTCTCTATATCAACATGTATCCGTGGGCTCACAACAACTTTGCCGACGACCAGGCGGATGCGGCGAGCTCCTCCGACCACTATGCTACCCAACAGCAGGGTTAGACGATGGACCTCAACCTCAACCTCTCACCACCGCATCCATCAAATGCATACCCGGCCGCCCAGCAGCCGGTGAATTACATACAACCGGGATACCCAACACCCGGTCTGCCATACCAGCAGCAGCCGATGATGTATCCCGCCCCGTATCCGTACCCGGTCCCACCTCCGCCGTATGGGTATTGGCCAGGCCAACCGATGTGCTATACTCCCCCGGTTGGTTATCCACCATATACGCCTGCTTACACAGCTCCAGCCGCCGCCCCTCCAGTACAACCGACCGCACAGGTAGAGCCGCAACGTCAGTCCGCATCCCGGGCTCGACGCTCGGCTCATTCGCGGTTGGGGTCGGGGGGTTCTGATGCGATGGAGGCACCAGCTCAGGCCGTCCAAGCGGAGGACCCTGAAGAAGTTGCCCGAGCGGTAGCTTTTGATCGTCTTCGACCGGAAATGCGCCAGCGTTTGGGACCACAAGACCCGAACCGCGGGCAAGGAGACGTACAGATGCAGGAGGCTAGTCAGGAGGCTTCATCTGGGTATAGCGGGTCGAGATCTCACCGACGGCGACGCGCTCGGGATACAGCCCAAGCCGCTCAAGCCGCCGAGCTCAACGAAACCCGAGGATTGCTCTATAACCTCCAGGCGGAAGTTGCGCAGCTCAGGAATGCGTACCCTGCAACACCCCCGGTCAACCAATCGACCCTACACCAGACGCCTTTCACAGCAGCGGTAATGGCCCAGCCTTACCCGCTTGACTTAAAGGTCTCCGGAGAGAAGAGTTATGACGGACGGGCAGACCCTGAGGCCCACGTGAATGATTTTTTTAGCAACATGATGCTGAAGGGCGTTTCGGACGCCGTGATGTGCAGGGCCTTTTATTCGACCCTCACCGGTCGGGCTGCAGAGTGGTTCCGTACCCTGCAACCGGGGTCGATCGATAAATTTGAGACCCTGGCGATCAAATTTGTAAGGAAGTTCATTACTTCCAAAGCGATGAGAAAGTCCTACATGTATCTTGAGAAAGCCAAGCAGCTAGAAGGGGAAAGCTTGACCGATTTCCTCGTCAAATGGAAAGCAGCGGTCGGGGAGGTCGAGCCCATGGATGATGCGACCGCCACCCATATGCTTCACATATCCCTCCGGGCGGGACATTTGTATCAAGACTTCATCCTACACCCCCCGACCAGTTATGAGGAGGCCCTTCGGAGGGTCACAGACTATGCCAACGTCGGCGAGGCGAACGCCGTAAAGCGCTTGCAGGAGGTCGGCTCTTCGTCCCGTAAACCGGCCTGCCGGGCGGAACATCGGTCGGGAGATGACAATCCCCGATCCCGCACCAGGCCTGGCGAGTTTACGGCCTTGAACCGATCCGCAGCGGAGGCCATGCAATACGCCCAGTCCTGCAATCTCATCAAACTCCCCCATCTCGATCGAGACGGCCCTGACAAGAGTAAGCACTGTGCTTACCATCGATGCGCTGGGCACGACACCGAGGAGTGTACCCACTTACGCCAATTGTTGGAAGATCTGCTCAGCCTGGGAAAATTGGACAAGTGTGTGGGGAAGAGAGAGGACAACAAGAAGAATATCGATCGGAGGGATCACAGGCGTTCTCATCACCGCTCCGATCGGTCAGGTCAGGACCGAAGAGACGATCGAAGGGACGATCGTCATAATGACCGACGGGACCCTGACCCTCCGTCTGGTAGCCGCCCGTCCGGAAAGCCTACCATCCACGTCATTTTTGGTGGACTGGAAGATGCTTCCCGACCGCGGACTAATTGCCCGGTCGCTATAGTGGACTCCCGGGGGACCGGGAAGAGGCAGAAGATGGAACCCATGACCTTCACCCTCGAGGACCAACCTACCAGCAGCGACCACGGCATGGAGGCGCTCGTGGTTACGATTGACGTTAGGGGGACGGACGTCCAAAGGGTTATGGTGGATACGGGCAGCAGCGTGAACGTCCTTTACTTGGACGTCTTCGAAAAGCTTGGCCTCGACAGGAAGGAGCTGACTCCGGTCGGTGTACCACTGTCAGGATTTACCGGGGCTCTCATTTACCCCGAGGGAAAGATAACGCTTCCGGTAGAGATCGGCACCCCTCCAAAGTCGATCAAAACGGAGCTGGAATTTGTTGTGGTCAACCTCCATTGCGTCCACAACATTATCTTGGGCCGACCCGCCATTATGAAGGTCGGTGGGATAATCTCTATGCCCCACCTGTGCATGAAATTCCCCACCCCTAATGGGGTCGGCGTGGTCCGTGGCGATGTCCAATCCGCCCGGAAGTGTTACACCCGAGCGGTCAATAGACGTGACTCCGGTCCATCTTCCCGGGTGAACACCATAGCCAAAGAGGAGGCTAAGGAACGGAAGGAGCAGCCTGAGCCTTCCGAAGAAATAGAAGAAGTTCCCCTATCCGAGGACCGCCCGGATAGGAGGATCAAGATTGGCCGAGCCCTCACCCCCGAGCTTCGAGCGGAAGTTTTGGCCATACTCCGGGAGTATGCTGATATCTTTGCGTGGGGGCCTGAAGACATGCCCGGGATCGATCGATCGGTCATCTGTCACAAGTTAGCCGTCGATCCCGCAGCCAAGCCGGTCGTGCAGAAAACCCGACACCTTTCCTCCGATCGCCGCGAATTTGTCAGGGAGGAAGTTAAAAAGATGGCGGCGATTGAGCACATCCGTCCGGTGGTCTATCCCCAGTGGGTGGCAAATATCGTTCTTGTTCCTAAGCCCCCAGCATGGAGGATGTGCATCGATTTCACGGACCTCAACAAGGCCTGTCCGCTCGACCCGTATCCTCTGCCGAGCATTCACCAGATGGTCGACGAGACGGCCGGGGCCGAATTAATGAGCTTCATGGATGCCTTCAAGGGGTACCATCAGATCATGATGCACCATGAAGACGAGAGCAAGACAGCCTTCGTGACCCCGGATGGGCTGTATTGTTACCGAGTGATGCCGTTCGGCCTCCGGAACGCAGGAGCGACCTACCAGAGGATGGTCAACATGCTCTTTGCCGATCTACTAGGCCGAACGATGGAAGCTTACATCGATGACATGCTGGTCAAGAGTCGGGACCGATCCGACCACACTCGGGACCTCCGGGAGTGCTTCCAGATCATGAGCAAGTACCAGTTGCGGCTAAACCCGACCAAATGCACATTCGCGGTTCAGACCGGCAAGTTCCTCGGCTATATGATGACCAAGAGAGGAATTGAGCCTAACCCGGCCAAAGTAAAAGCGATTCTGGACATGCAACCACCTTCCACCGTTCGGGAAGTCCAGCAATTGACCGGTCGGTTGGCAGCCCTCAGCCGGTTCCTCTCCAAGCTAGCCGAGCGCGCTTTACCTTTTTTCAAGGTATTGCGGAAGGTCAATGGATTCGTCTGGGACGAAGAGTGCCGAGCAGCTTTTGATGAGCTGAAGGAATATCTCATGTCACCGATCGTGCTCTCAAAGCCTGAGCTCGGAGAAGAGCTAGACGTATACCTCGCCGTGTCCGATCGCGCAGTAAGCGCAGTGTTGTGCCGAACCGATCCGGAAGGGGTCCAGCGACCGGTGTACTATGTAAGCCATGCGCTACATGGTCCCGAGCTCCGGTACTCCCGGCTAGAGAAGGTCGTCTACGCCTTATACATTGCCACGAAGAAGTTGGCTCCCTACTTCCAAGGTCGAGCAATTCGCGTGTTGACCGATCAGCCGATCGGGCCAGTCCTCCGAACTGCTTCATCATCAGGTCGCCTAGTCAAGTGGGCGTTAATGTTGACCCAGTACGCGATCGAATACCGACCGAGACCGGCTATTAAAGGTCAAGCTCTTGCTGATTTCTTGGTCGAGTGCACCGCCCGGGATACCCGACCTCCCGAGGTTGCGGATCCCGAGGCCGTGTGGTGGTCGTTGGCTACTGATGGATCAAGTAGCAAGAAGGGAGCAGGAGGATGAGTGGTGGTCACGAGCTCGGAAGGATTCAAAGTCTATTTTGCTCTAATGTACCAGTTCCACCCGACCAATAACGAAGCCGAATACGAAGCATTTGTTAATGGCCTACAGTGCGCTCGGGACTTAGGGGCTGAGTACATCCGAGCTCAGACAGATTCCGCGCTCGTGATCGGGCAAGTTCTCAGGGATTATGAAGTCAATGGAGAACGTCTGCAGCTTTACCGAGACCTTGCCATGGAGAAGCTTGCTCAGTTCCGGGGGTATACCGTCCGACACATACCCCGATTGGATAATGCCGACGCAGATATTTTATCTAAATTGGCTCAAGATGCCCCGGAACACATGTCGAAGATAGCTCGGATCTTGGTGATCCCGAGACACAGTATTCATCGTCTACCGGTCAATCCTATCCAACCGGTAGAAGACAATTGGATCACCGATCTGAAGGAGTACCTCGAGCATGGTCGCCTCCCAGACGACCCACAGCGTGCTCGGAAGGCCAAGCTTAGAGCCCCAAGGTTCCAAGTTTTGGACGGTCGTCTCTACAGGCGATCGTATGGAGGCCCTCTGATGCGTTGCTTGACCGCATTTGAGGCCGATATAGTCATGAAGGAACTGCACTCGGGAATTTGCTCTTCACATCAAGGAGGCCGATCCCTGGCCCGTCGTATCATGCTGATCGGGTACTATTGGCCGTCCCTCCAGCTGGACTGTGAAAAGTTAGCTCGGGAATGTGAGACGTGCCAACTGTTCGCCCGGATGCCTGGACGACCGGCAACCTTCTATCAGCCAGTCACGACCGCAATTCCTTTCGCTAGGTGGGGGGTAGACATATTGGGCCCCTTCCCTCAACTTTCCGGTTGGAGAAAATTTGTGATCGTCGCCATCGATTACTTCTCCAAGTGGATAGAAGCCGAGCCTTTAGCCACGATCACCTCTCAGCAATGTGCTCGTTTCCTTTGGCGAAATGTGATTTCCCGCTTTGGTGTGCCCGTGCATCTCATCAGCGACAACGGCCGCCAATTCGTAAGCCAGTATTTCCAGAACTTTTTGGCCACGATCGGGACAACTCACGTCCGGTCGTCGGTGGCTTACCCGCAAGGAAACGGTCAAGTGGAGAACGCGAACCGGACGATTTTGGAAGGTCTGAAAAAGAAGTTACACTCGGCCGGTCGTAGTTGGGCCGATGAGTTGCCATATGTCTTATGGACTTATCGGACGACCCCGAGGGAAGCTACTTTGGAGACCCCTTTCGCCCTGGTTTATGGAGCTGAAGCCCGACTCCCGATCGAGGCTTGGATCCCGACCGATCGAGAAAGAACCTACAATGCCGAGGAGAATGAACATGCTATGGCAGTGGATCTCGATGGGGTCGAAGAAAAAAGAGAGCTAGCCGCTCGGCGTATAGCCGAGTACCAGAAGCGTGTGAAGAGTTCGAAGGACGTTCGGGTCAACCCTCGTTATTTTCAAGTAGGGGATTACGTTCTACGTCGGAGGGAAGCCAGTCAACCGTTAGAGGGCGGAAAGCTGGCTCAAAATTGGGAAGGGCCGTATATCATCAGCGCCGTCATACGGCCGGGAACATACCGACTGGAGACAACAACTGGTCGGGTAATCGAGGGAACTTGGAATTCCGAGCACCTCGTTATGTTTAGGCATTAAGCCTATTTTTTGTAACTTTTGACGAAGTGGGGCTTGACCTGCGAGTAGGTCCCGGTCGTCGGTCGTAATTAAACTATCATTGTAAATACTTGTTTAACCGCCTACGAGCGGGAAGGTTTTAATGTATATACGATCGGTGATTGCTCGACCGCTTGCATGCGGCGGCCCGGTCGGTTATTTTCTTTACCTTCAATGTACGCAGATCAATTTATCTTCAAGCTACACCGACCGGGCGAATCTATCGACCGGTCAGATGCGCTCCACATCGGCGGACATTCGAGTCACGCCACCGGTCGGGGAAGCCAGGAGCACACAGCATAATTCCCCGATCTGATCACTTCTTGTCCACTATTGCACTCACTCGTGCCATGAGAGCACAATAGTGTGGGGGCTGGGATGAAGGAAGTGTTTACAGGCCCGTCGTTCGGAAGTATCCCGACCGTAGAGGCTTACTTATTTTCTTTTTGACAAGGCCTGGACACCGGGTAAACCCGATCAGGATGGCCAAAAGGAAGTGTTTACAGGCCCGTCGTTCGGAAGTATCCCGACCGTAGAGGCTTACTTATTTTCTTTTTGACAAGGCCTGGAGACCGGGTAAACCCGATCAGGATTGCCAGTTTGACGTTGAAATCCCGCTGCAGGACCGGGCCAAAAGGCCATGAGGTCAAGCAACTATGATCAGTATGCGGCTACGATCAGTGTGTGCAATTTAGAAGCAAAGGTGTAAAAACACGAAACGAACGATGCAACAGCAAAAAGGGAAATTTATTAATCACGAAGAGAGTGCCCGGTACAAATTCGGGACCGGGCTCCCGATCAGCGTTTCTACAAAAAAGAAGAAGCCTATTCTACTTCTTCAATTCCCGAGCTCCGATAGCTGCCTCCTTCCCGCTCGAAGTGGCCGCCGATGATGCCCCAGGCTCGGCCGCCTTTTCCTTGGGAGCGAAGGGGGAGGGGCCTGGGTCGCCTTTTCCTTGCGTTGCCCGGACTTGAACGCCCATCGGCCGAAGGAAACGATCAGGTCCTCTCCGACCTTAGTTCCCCGGGCCGCCGTGAGAAACGCCGAGCCCGACTCGCTGTCCTTGAAGACAGTCTGCACCGACTCGCTGTCCTTGAAGACAGTCTGCACCGACTCGCTCGGATTATCGAGCCGGGCCTTCAGCTCTCTCGCTTCCCCGATCGCCCGTTGGGCGACTTTCTCTGCGAGGGCCCGGTCTTCCTCGCTCTTTTTCAGGCCCTTCTGGGCCTTCT